TCTGCTTTCTTTTGTGTATCAAACGTAATGTCAAAATTGAAAGGTTTCATGACTGTCGATGAAAAATGGCAGTGGCTAAAATCGCCGTTAGCCGCGCAGCTGACAGCCAGCCGGCTTTACAACATGGCTTCTCAGTCTGCTACAACGTGTTACACAAGGCCGCGTTAAAATATATGTTTCTGTTTTAATAATTACACCAAAGCTTTATCTGACGATGAAGAGGGAATGCATGTGTCTTATTTTATTGATATGGGGTTTACATATGTGCATTTTAACAGTTAAACGATTAGTTTTTTTGTTCATTCGGCAATGGTCCTACCTCATGGCTGCTACTTCAGTAGGAAAAGGAAGGTTTGAGAGACGGACTGGAACCTACCATTATGGAGGAGAGTCCATCTCTGAACGCGAAACATCTCTGTGTTAACCTAGACCACAAATGGCATTATAAATAATGTTTTCATTAGAAGTAGTGCAAATGTTTGGACTTACGTATAGATAAGATTGGTGGAAAAGGATACCGACAATGGAAATGTGGAGATTTGAAATCTATGATCACCCCTCTTAAATAGAATGGTACAGATCAGTGTTTTTACAGTGCATTATGGGTAAGGTTGGGTGCATTCTGCTGTCTAACACATGAGGACGCTGTTGAATCCAGTTTCCAGTTTAAACTAAAAAACATAACATTACACGTTATCAGGAATATTTACAGTAGGCATATGTTTTATACAATGCATTTGTACAATGAGGGCCAATATTCTTAAATAATAATATAACATTTCTAATTTTACCCTTTTTTTGTGTAATACTTGATGTAAAGCCTTCAACAACCTTCAAAAAGAGATGATAAGGTTGCACAATGTAAATAAAAACACAACAGTATAACTAACAATTGATGCAACTCAATAAACAATACCAAATTAGAGGGTTATTTTATTATTATATTGTAATCTGTGTTTGTTTACCATCATAAATCGATGCTAAATGCCTTCCTGACTGAGAAAATAGCATAACTGCATATTATGATATGCCAGTTAAAATTTAGTTTAAGAAAAAGTTGTGTACAAATTCATAAATACACATGTTAAAAACAAATACATTTAAAATCCATAATATGCCGATATGCTAAGGTGTTAAAAAACAACTTTCCAAAATACGAGCAAACACAAAAAAAAGGACATGCAACTTAAACGGCTTTCTAAAAACACAGTAGATCAAAACCCAGATCTGTTTAAACATTGGAAAAGGACAAATAGATGTTAAAAGCACTAGATTTTTTACCATACATTTGAACTAACTCGATACTGTTATGGAAATATAGGGTGCTATCTAACAAGAAAGTAAAGATAAGACAAAAAGACATAGAGTCTGAACTTTAATTATTTATTGTAAAATTCAGCCTTTAAGAGTGTGAAATACACCTTTTAATAAATAAAGAGATTAGAACAATTAAATATTAGGCTTTCAAATGGCCTGTATTCAAAATAAAATGTGAGTTGGCTGCTAAAATAGGATTAACACCTGACAGTGTTGCATCCTTGGCTCTCCCGCAGCACCCCATCGCCATGGCAACACTGCACGCTCAACAGTGTGGGTGCAAGAGTAGTACTTCTTCACCTCAGGTAACTCAGAAATACCAACTGAAATCATCAGCTCCGGGCAAAGTATTTAACTAAAGTACCGGATCACCTCCTACCACAGCTTAAAAAGACACTGCTCTCCTCTTCGCACAGAAATGTGCCGCTGCGTGAGTGACCAAAAGTATTTAAACCTTAAAGAGGTTGAACTATATGTCTACTGAAGAGAAGGATCACTTAACTTTATTGCATTTTTATTCCTCTTTGAAGAATCATGAATGCAAATTATCTAAATATATATGTTTTCACTGATTACATAAATCTTGGTATTTGATGATAATAATTGAATGGTGCATTTTGTATGTCATGTCATATGTGTAATGTGTCCCGTCCTGTTACGGACCCCAGGAAGATTAGCAGTCCCCAATGTCTCAGCTAATGGGGATTTTGAAAATGGATAAATCAAGCAAAAGGGGTAGCGTGCGCTAGCAGGGGAGAGATGAAGCCACACTGGAGGCTGGGGCTTTTAAGTCCTGTGTTGCATCGGGCCCAGGTGCTCCAGATGTGGCTCAGGGACTGCCATCAGACTCCTTTGATGCCTTGAAAACAACAGAAGCACATTCAGCTGATGCAGTGCACACAAGCAGACTATAAGCAGGGGCCGCTATACCAAAGTGTCATAGTGTCTATTTGAACACTCAAGCTAGCGTAATCAGGTTTACAAAAATAACTGAATATGTTCGTATATATAATGTGCAACACATTCCCAGGATACTCAGAAACACGCATGGAATCATGTTCAATATGATCGAGAAACTGTAGTGTTACATGAGGTACAAATAGCATCACATTAGGGTTTAGGCATGTGCAGGCGAAACAAATTATAGCTACTGCACACATTTTTCATGTTGCTTATTTGGATTTCATTGGAATGGATCTTAAAGTTGAATAGTGAATGATTTAACACTTCAGAGGTGTGTTGTGCTAGTTGTGGATTGAGCCAAATATCTATACAGTAAGTGCAGGTCCCTTTAAAGCTGAATTCATTCATCTATATGTCACTGTGCTGCTGACCCTTACCAAGGTGTTGTGACTTCATTGAATTATGAACAAGTATTTGATTTGATTTGAACTCAAGTAACTTTTTTAAAATGTTGATCAGTCAACTATTGGTATTATTTTATTATTTTGGTTTCTTTTAAAAATTCCTTCTGATCTTATTTTTATGTATATGTATATGTTTTTTTTTCTAAATCTGTATAATTTATGTGACTGTTGTAAACATTTTTACTCATGATGTCATATGCTTATCTTTATGTGTATGGTGCATGTGGCTGCATTACCAGGGTTGCTCATGCATTGTGCTACCACCTGGAACCAAATGTGGTATACAAATAAAGTTCTGCTTACTTGCTTACTCACACTGCATGGTAGGTATTCATCAAAGCATTATGATCTAAGGAGACAAAATCAACAACAAAGATGAGAGAATAAATACAATATTGAAGCATATTTTTTTCATAGTCTTGACCCTTGCATTTCTTGTCCTAATTTCCCATCCTGAAACTTGAGTTTTAATCTATTACAAGAAGTTGCAAAGAAGAGCATCAGCTAAATGCCAAATATGACTGTTTATCCACTTATTTTTCTTTAGTAGCAGCAAAGAAGAGGAAAATCAAGTGAGCAGCTGAGGACAAACTCAACCCTGCACCCCCCTGCTGCACATTATGTTTTTTCTTGGAGGAAGATGTCGACCAGCTGCTGCAGGAGAGTCACAGTGACTCTAATATCATCGTTTTCGAAGAACACCCTGCATCTGTTTCTTTCCTTTCATTTTTTTAAGAGGATAACCATCAATGCTTCCTAGATATACTGATACGTCTGATTGCATCTATAATTAACTTTTGATGTCAATGTTATTACATTGATATATTATCACAGTAACCAAAAGTTATGTTTGCTGTCTTGAGCCACAAAAGCACTGTCAGAAAAGCTGTGGCCCCTGAAAACAGCTCCTCATTCTTGACATGTTAAAGGGACCCAGTCATGTCTGCCCCTGCTAAAAAAACTCAGGCACCTAAGTTAAAATGTCAGTTATAGTGCAGGGTCCTTGGAGTTTGGGTGTTTTGCTCTGGGCCACTTCAGAATGACTGCTGCCACAAACTAACTGTGAATTTGTTCTCCCCCCCATTAAAGCCCCTCTAGGACCTCGAGTTTCTGGATTCCTAATGTGGCGACAAGCGGCTTGGCCTGATGGTCTTTGTACCTCCATCACCACGGCTGCTCTGTTGTTCTTTCATCAATCGATAAGTGAAGGTGGGGTCTGTTCAGCGGGGCGTGGACCTCGACTCCCAGCTGGAGTCCATGGAGCGCACACAGGAGACAGAACCAGCGTCAAGACAGGCAGAGGAAGACTGACTCATTCCGGTAGTAAGAGGAATCTGCCTTCAAAATTAAAGCATGTCTGTTAGAAGACTGTCAATTTGACTTTTGACACAACTGCTCTGACGACTAATGGTTCCATTACTTTTGATATGATGTAATTACTATTACTTAGTGTCACGAGCCCTAGCAGTGATAACTTAAATCATGGTATGAGTTATATAATTCAAAAAAGGAATAGGCTTAGTCCCAATGATTCTTGAAATGTGTAAGTATACGTATATAATCGGCAACAAATAATTCACTGTAAAAGTAATTTATCATGCAATCTTCAAATAAAATTCAGTTTTCGCCCTCTCAAACGTAGAGATTTCCTGCTTTTCTCTGTTTTATATCATATTAAGTAGTCTGCTGACTTATTGTTGATGTAAATTATTTTTGGTTGAAGCCCTATTTGTAAGTCAATTCAATATCATGAAAAGAAACAAGAGTGACATAAGTGGTTGGTTTAGTTTCCTCACACAAATAATGTTAAAACAAAAAAATATTTGCGAAACTGAAGACTCTAAATTGTTAAATGTTTGATGTTAATGAGTCAGTATATTTTTGTGTACACCTCTCGTGGTATAGTAAACTCCACATAGTGACAATAGGTAAATATTATAATATAATATATTTAAACCTGAGGCAGCTTGTTGGTAGTCTTCTATTTATTTGTTTGCAAAAAACAAGAAAATAGAGAACATTTCACCAGTTACAATGAAACAATCTTGAAGTTACAGGGAGTAATGATCTGCATTACATTTAAATAAAGCAGTATTCTATTTAAAGGTTAACATAAACATGCTGACGTTTTTTAAATTATTATATTTAGGCTAGAACAATTAATTGCACGTTTCTCAGCTATTGAGTTTACAATGCTAAATATTTTTATTTTGAAAGCTCCAGCCGGATGTGCCAGTGCATGATTCCGTTGACTTGACTCTAGTGTAAAAGCCTGGTGCGCAAGTGTGTAACGCTATAGGCTGGAGGAAGGCAGCTGTTGCCATTATTTTTACCAGCCAGCTCAGATCAGCGACTCATCACTCCCTGGAAAAAAATGAGTTGGTCCTCAGCATCATAAACACACGAAACTGAAAATAGATTTAAAAAAGTTAAATCAATGGTACAGAAAAGTAGTATGTCCAGGACGCCTTCGACCTCAACCCAGGAGATCCAAATGGACATGTTCGACCATCATCCACACACACAGGTAAGAAGCAAACAGCAGAAACGGAGGCAATATCGTGACAGGGAAACAAAAAAGACTGCGCAAACTAATGTGCATTTATGGGAAAAAGGCGTTTCGAGGACGGTGAGGCTGTTTCACTTCCGAGGATTAACAGGTTGTTCAGCAATTAAGTCGCCTCATTTGCTTTCGGGAGCCCAACATGCTCGTGTTCGCTGCACTGATTGAAAGCCGAATTGTATCCGAGGAAGCTCAAATTGATTACATGTTCTAGTTTGTTTGTTTTGGATTTAGATATTTGTTGATTTCATCCTCGGTCTTGAGTTGTGTTGGGTTTAATTAGTCTCTATGTGTAACCATATGTGAGGATATGATGTAACGCTGGTTTTATTGCCGTGTTATCATTGGGTCCTTGACAAAACCACGCCTATTTTTGATTAATCATTGATTAATCAAGTAGATGGTACACTAAATGTTGATCTGCCCTGCTGGAGGAGAGATGCATCAATGTGGATAGACATGAATCCCACAGAGATGCTATGTATTACGTTTTCAAACCTGACATGACCAGTAAAGTAATCAATTTGCCATTATTTTAGGAAATAACTCTAACACCCTGCATCACCCTCAGAAATTCAACTTGATGAGGTAATCTCTCCATTTATTTTTCAACTTTCGATGGTGTCAGTCTATTTACATCTACAAATATGCTGTGACTATTAGAAAGTGACAGGATATTGTGGGCATGTTTAGTCATAACAGTTTAAATGGATGAAAAAATAAATGATGAGAATATCTAGAACAACACACCCACGCCTGAGCTCAGTCAATGTCTCTTTGGAGAAGGGGAAAAAAACCAACACCTCACCACAGACAACCAACGCTTCAAACCATGCCAAGTCCTGCTCTCTCCTCTTTACTCCCACTCTTCCCAGCTCCTTCTCATCTCTCAGCTCTCCAGATTCCTTCCGCATCCACTTTGAATGTCCCACTATCTCCATCCTGCTCTCACCATCTCACCTCGTCCTGTCTGTTTTAAAAAAATCAGATCTTTATCTGCTGTGAGGCTTTGGTGAGAAGCAGATGGACCCCCTCCTTTAGCCAGGCAGCTGGAAATGGTTTGTTTCATATTTGTGTGTGTGGCAGCTCTGATCAATTAGATATAAAGTTCATCCAGACCAGCAGCAGGTCATGCTGGTATATGTATTTATAACTCTGCTGTGGAGAGACAAGCAGGGAGCGACATTTCTAATATCCTGAAGGAGACGGTTTGAGTTTTCTACCAGAGAAAAAAAAAGATATTGGGCAAAGACATGATCCAAATTCAGCGGCAGTGTCGCTGAAGATTGTGTTGTTGAGCATCGTCATCTTGAAGATAAGGGGTTTATATTTTAAAGTTGTGACATCGTGTAACCAACCAACGTCCAACCAGCTGCATTTGTAGACATGTTTTATTATTGTCTCACAAAATACAAACAGAAAACAGCCGTTTCAAATCGCCTCCAAACCAAACACAGGTATAAACCAACAATTTACTAATGCACCCCTGAAACAATATCAGTCCTTAGCATTATTACTTTCTCTCAATATTCACATAGAAACCATCCAACGTTATTACTTTAGAACCGTGATGAAAAATAGGAGACATAAGATAAATGTGCTTTTCTTCCTTCTCCATTTTTCTTTTTTTTATCTTTTGAAAATAAAATGTTTAAGTGAAATTGAGTACCTTTCCACAGTCGCCCATGTTTCCACATATTCTGTCTTATTGCTTTGCCACATTAAACCACTTTTTCAGTTTAATTACTCCAAATATTATTTTTTTCCAGGTGTGTGTATTTAAACCAACCCAGCTTTTCATGATTACCATTTTTGCGATCATACAGAACTAGACAAAAAGGTATTTTGCCTCCAAGCTCCATGCTTCTCCGTTTAAAGTCTCCTGTTTACACACAACACCCTTTTTAATTGTACACTTAATCTGGGAGGATGTTTACCAACAGGAAGCCTCCCCTCCCTACTTCCTCTGGCATTTCCCTGCCCTTTGCTGACAGTAGCTCGCCCCATCATGGCTCTGATCATAGAGGCATGCACACACATCATATTTAATATAATTGTGAAATTCTGACAGCAGTGCACACGTTTATCTCCGCACAATCACCAGAACATCCTTATAAGAAACTTCATTTTTTGAACCACATAGGTCCTGTTTCATAATTGAGCTCTTATCTATATTGATAACAGTTTATTTGACAGCTTAATAAAAAGATATATCTGGTGGCACCACAAAATCTCCAGCGGGATAAACATTCACTGTGTAATTATCTTATCTATGTCAGTTATTTTCAACCTTAACTTTCCATTGTCAACTCTTATTATACTGAAGTGGATTATGGCTTTGTAACTGCAGTGTGTTCATCTTTGTTCTGAATATATGGCTGTACTGGGAATTTGTTTACAACCTGTTCGATTGCTTGGTCGTGTTGCAACCTTTAGCAATTAGGATGGTGAGTTAGATCCCGTTTACATTAGAGATTTGTGCCTGGATATCTTATCTGGATAAGGTGAAAAACACGTTAAAGGGATAACTCGGATTGTTTGAAGTGGGTTACACGTAGAGTGGATGGCGGTCAGCATGCACCCAGTTTGGAGAAACAGACAGGAGTTACGGCTCAGGATCTAAGCTACCAATGCCTACCTTAAAAGATATTCAACCAATTTAAGTAAAGACTGTAGTTTTTCAGCTTTTCTTTTCTGTTAGACAGCCCTTTCTGACAGGAATCCAAAGCCGTTAACCGTGTCTGTTACCGTGTGACTTTGGTAACCCTTTAGTCCACCAAAATAACCGATTAACCAATCAAAGCAGTGGTTCACCGGCAACACCCGTCCAAGTAATATTACTTTGTTTTTCAAAAGAGACCGGGGACTTTGAAGAGAACAGCTACTGTATACCGTCGGACAGGGGTGTCGGACAGCAAGGTGAAGCGGTGAAGATATTTTTTTTGGTTTTGTCTAATGCTTATATGAGGCAAAATGAGTAATGGTAATTTTATTATAAGATTGTATTGCTAACCCGTTGAGCTGAAAGGGGATTGCTTTTCCTCAAATTCAGACATGTCTAATCTGTACGTTGAAATCTTACCATAATACATGCAGCATCAGTGATGTCCTTAACAAGCTGTGGTTGAATCAGAATCAGAATCGTTTTTATTACCAAGTAGGTTTACACATACGAGGAATTTTCTTTTGTATATATATAGAAAATGTTACCATACCTAGAAATGGTGGCAAAAAGTTAGATATGTTTTTAAAAAATCATCAGATGATGTTATGTTAAAAAAGCACAGAACTAAACGTATCTTAGAATATGTCTAAAAAGCCATGATTCTCTGAAAAGATTTAGTGTAGAAGTAAACTCTTTAAATCGTTTTTTTTCTATGTTTTTAGTATCAGTTGCATCTTATCCATTTACATGTTTACATATGTTCACCTCAAGTCCTTTGATATCATAGCTATTAACTGTACTTGCAGATGTTTTCCACACAGTAGTTGTTGTTGTGTGTATTACTGTTATTTTGCTGTGGAACATCCTGCTGTGTATTTGTCCTAACCATCAGCAGCAGTAAATCAAGCATGGCACACAGGGCTGGATCTATTATTTTAGCGCAACAGGAGGTTTAATAGAAATTCAAAAGGACTCCCAAGCTCCATTTTTGGATGGGAGTGTATAACAGATGTTATAACAGTGTGATTATATATTAGCTTGTGTATATTGGTGCTGATATAACAGGTTATGCATGTTTAAAGTAATCTCAGGTCCTCTGCCTGCCCTCTCTAGGTGACATTGATAACAAAACGCTTAGTTGGAGAGAGCTTACTGTTGGCGGGTTGTTAACACATGTTTAAAGCAGCTGCTGGGTAATATGCAGGGTTGATAGACATCATCATTGTCAACAATTTAAAGTATCACATTTTAGTTTTAATCATTTTAAGGTACTTCACTGTCTTATAATTCCTGTAAATAACATATATTTGGGGTTTTGGATCAAGTTGGACAAAACAAGCAATTTCAAGGATAAAAGCGTTAGCAAAAAAAAATGTAATGTAAAGATGTTACCTTGTTGCTCTGTAAACAGTAGTGGCTTATTTGAAAAATGTTCCATTTAAAAAAAAAATGTTAGTTTCAGAACATAAATAAAATAGTGGCTGTCTTTAAGGAAAATAATTGCAATGTGTATTTATGTATTACATAAAATTGTTATTGTATTGCCTCTTCTACTGGGGCGTCATATGTAATAGAAAAGAGGGGGCATCCGGATTTGAACCGGGGACCTCTTGATCTGCAGTCAAATGCTCTACCACTGAGCTATACCCCCAGTGCTCCAAATATGCAAGTACACAGGTATATAAAGGGCCATAGAGGTGTTACGTATGTTTTGGAAATAAGACACTTTATCAATATCACATTTTCAATTCAAGACATTTGTGGTGTGACACCCCCTCCTGTAAGTGCTGTAAAATGAACACATTTGCCATGTCTATTTTTTAAGCATTATCTTAACCAGCACTTTTTTTACATTGAAAGAACAACACAGCCAGTCTCCTGATGAGCTTCCAACAAATGTAATTAGTCGGGATTGTGTAACCATGGCAATGTGGGTAGGGTGGGCTCATAATGCGCTGTGTGGCCTCTGCCCAACCCGGATAGGCCATTTGCAAGGGGTCTGCCAATCAAATTACAAGGTCCCAGTTTGCATCTGAACATGAAAAATGACGAGTAATGAAGGCTGTTCGTGGACACTCAGGATACATTTAATCTGGTCGACTTCCTCTCCAGTCTGGGAGCAGCGCTGCTCTATCTCTGGTTCTATCTGACTGCCTGATCATATTCAGAAGCTTTAACAAATGCTATGCCGAATGTTAACTGCTGTCATGCTCCCCGGAAACAAGGTTAACTAAGAGATATGTCAAGAAAGATTATTTTGGAAACACTCAATGAAACTTTCTGTGTTTTTCTCTTTATTTCCCAATCCCCCTCTCCCCTGCCCTCCAACCTCTCCAATTGCAGGGAAAGTATGGCAAGAGGAAGAGCCGATTTAAGCGCTCTGATGGAAGCACCTCATCTGACACCACCTCAAACAGCTTTGTCCGACAGGTAACATTTCACACTTAATCCTTCCTCCAGACCACTAATCCAGGTCCTAGACTGAGTCTTAGCTTAATTTTTTAATGAAGACTCGTATAAAATGTTAATGGAGTCAAAGTGAGGTCTTTGATGCTGGGAATTCAGCAGCCCATATAGACTGTAGTTTAATTATTATTTTAGACTCTTTTTCTTTCATTTTAACAACCAATTTCAAGCTTTTCAAATGTCTAGAGTAACTGCTTTTTCGCTCTTTTATATAATTGAAAAAAGTAGTACAACTTTTTGAAGTCTGAAGCATTCACACAGTAGGCTGAAGGAAGAACTATAATCTTTAAATAACAAACTTGCTAGCACCTCTGAACAAAGCAAAACTGATTTTACACTAGAGTTTAAAGGGTTTATTTGCCACATTTTAACCATGAACTGTTATTAACACATTTGTTTTCAAGTTTTGTTTATCTGGCACATGGCAGAGCTGTGCTGATTTCTTACAACATGAAACACTTTTATATTTGTTTCTGTATTTTGGTCGTATTTTTCCCTCTTCACCTGTGTGTTTGTCACAGGCAGCCCACATACCGTACTGTATCTCACACACTGAAATGGCTTTGATAACATTGCTGGTAACAACAATAGAACCCCTGTGACTGCAGTTACACATATATATTGAGTTGGAAATGAGAGACTCATCCGAGATTTCTCTGGGACTCTAAATGTAATTATAATCCCCATGTGTTAGACTCAACCCACACTACGCCTCTCTGACCCTGACTCCACCCTGGTCTGTGGATGTAGATCCATTTATTGGCTCTGTCTTGAGAAGCTAGTATAACCTAGTAAGCATCATTTTCCCGAGCTTTGTCAGACAGGTACACTTTTGGCGCATTTCCACTACAGCGCGGAGCGCGGTTTAAGCGTGCCCGTCTTTGGTTGCGTTTCCACTAGGCGTAGTTCCGGCTAGCGGGTACTTTTTCACAGTTTTCTGGCTCTCCAAAATCGAGGTTCTTTCCGGCCCAATAACCGGGCTGAGTATGCTAAACTAGTGAGAGAATCGCTGGCAACTACAACAAAATGAACATATTTGACCGTGATTTAATTGTAATACACGTTTCAAAATGATGCCGAAGTAACAACATACTGATACCGGTTAGTAAAAACCATGAATTAATGCTTTGACAAGTCTGCAGACAAGACGGCAGGCGAAACACCTTTTAAAATGCGCGTTGTCTAAATGGAGATCGGCTAAGCTAACGTTGTATATGCTCCGACCGTCCAAACTCACAACAACGGCCTATACAGACATAAATAAACCAGCGACTGTATTCTCCATGACACAGGCAGTCTGTGGTTTGTACATGTTTAACTTTTGTCTAGTTTCTGAACAGATATGAGGAGCTGTGAGCTTGAGTGCTAACAGCTAACGGCTGATGTTGGTTTTGTGTTTCGCATTGAAGATTACGTCACGGCTCCGCCTACACTGCGTTACTATTGTTACTACCCCAGTTCCTAAACTGTAATGGAAACGCAGCATAAAGTGAGCCTGGCCTACCAAGGCCTAACTATACCGTACTAAGCTGTGCGAGGCCCTGCAGTGGAAATGCGCCATTTCTCTCCCCGGCTAGTACAGGAGGCGGGGTTAAAGCATCACAGCTCGAGGCCTGAACCACAACCCTGTTTGAACATAACATTTCTCAAAGCCACGCTGCATGGCAGCTAAACGATTCCCCTTTTCTCTCTGACCTCATCATTTGTGAGAGGAAATGATTTGGCCCGTGCTGAATGACATTTACCTGTTCAGTACTGAGGTTGCCTTAAAAGAAAATGAAGAAAAAAATCCCAGGGAGCTGAACTCTCCTGCGGTTTCTAAAGGTTAGCTGCATCTTCGCCAACACACATTACCCCTCCCACTGCCTTGTCCTTCATTAACTCTGAGACTCTGCTTGTTGAAGGACCACGTGCACTGGGGCCGGCAGGTTAGGCAGGAATTATAATCTCTTACATTGTATAAGAAACTCATTAGCTGCATAGTAAGGATGATTTCATACTTCCTCAGATAAAATTCCTTCCTGTGTCTCGTGCTGTCGCACAGCATTTCAATCATAAAGACAAAAAGTGGAATTGTAAACATTTGAAATGCTGTACAGAAACCAAACATGTATTAATTTACTAGTGGGAGTGTTTGTACATTTGAATGTAGTTTCTGAAACCCTGTTAAGAAAAAAAACGTCACAGGAAAAGAAGCACTAAGGCGCCCTATAGGTTTCTGTACATAGCCTTTTTTAGCCTCCCCTTGAACAACGCAAAGCAGAGCCCTGTATAGGCTTTACAGTACACCTACGCCAGTGCAGACTCACTCACCACACACACACAAATACACGAGAGCCACAATCAGCCAACGGTAGAGCTGGCTGGTACACTCAGCCTGGTTTCCATGGAAACCAGGCCACTGAATCTCCCTCTGTGTGCAGGCACAGTGGGATGGAGAGACGAAGGAAAGGATGTTTGGATGGGTTTGTGTGTGTGTGTGTGTGTGTGTGTGTGTGTGTGTGTGTGTGTGTGTGTGTGTGTGTGTGTGTGTGTGTGTGTGTGTGTGTGCGTGTGTGTGTTTGTGTGGGTGCAACCTACATGTTTGTGCAGTGCTGGTTTGTGTGTCCAGTTCAACAAAAACACACTCCGTCTTACGTCAGAGAGACTGTCTGCTGCTGCTGTGTACAATAGGTGACATGTTTGCTGTTGAGTAGAGATGTAACGATATACCGAATATCGCGGTATCGCGATAAATAAACGTCTCAATACCGTCGTGAGACTGACAAAATCTACCACGATATTACATGTTTTTTTTTGTTTTTTTAAACCTTTATTTAACCAGATGGTCCCATTGAGATCATCGATCTCTTTTTCAAGGGAGACCTGTCCAACATGGCAGCAAATAGGTTACAACATGAACATAAAACAACAGATAACACAAAAGGACATCGTATTTACAGGGCTACATTTACATACCTAGAGACATTGACAAGTACCAACAGTATATTTATATCTTTCCCTGTCAATAAGCCTCACCTTCTTGGCAAAAACTGTATTGTTTTTGAAGTGGTGGAGAGACAATGCACAGTTTTACCCACTGCTGTCACCCATGGCCAAAGCATATCTCTCTGTCCCACGGAGGTGGCGTTAGACCTTTTCGCTGTCAGCGAAAAGCAAAAACTCCCAGACATCAATGATCTGTATGGCAAAGTACGGTTTGGAAACTATATCATTTCCTTTTGGAGGGCATGCATAACACGGCAAACACCAGAGCCTCGCTGCGGGGGGAAACTTTGGCGCTGTTCCGAGTTTGTTCTAATCTGTCAAAATGATAGACTGCTTTCCGATTTTTCCGTCATTGTTAAAAAAAATATTCGGTTAACGCGACCACTGCTGTCCCAGCAACATCAGTACCAAGCGAGAGAGTTTTTTTCTTTATTTTTCAATATCACGATAAATACTGTACCGTGGACTTCTTATCGCGATATTATCGTTCCGTGAGTTTTTGGTATCGTTACATCCCTACTGTTGAGTATATGCTGAAAGACATTATTACATTTACTTCAAATTGTATATTTGCTCTATTCAAAATGTAATACACTTTAGAATTATAACATGAAACCAAATCATGTCATGATGAACACATAACAGATGTGTCCCACTTCAGCGGCTTGATCAAGAACATAAAGGAGGGTCCTTCAAAAAGACGCAAAGAGGTAGAAGATGCAAAATTCCTCTTCAAACAAATCACCAAAACAAAATCGATAAGACGACAAAATAAATCAGGGGTAATATTAATCATACAGCATTTAATTAACTTAAGAATGATCTGTACCACCCTGTAATCAGCTTAATATTCAGCCTGATAACATAAACCAATAAACACGCAGAGTTTAGGGTTAGTTGCCATTCATTGTTATCTGCAGTGGGTTATCGGTGGTCGACTTAATCTACCACCATTTTCTGGTTAAATGCGACATTGTCACAGTATATTTGAAAGATCCCCTAAGCGCTCCATCAAAGAACTGACCATGGTGCAGTGGATTATTGGATACTCTGTGTTGATAAGGATGTGTGTACTCTTAATTTTAGCATAAAGCTTTGTTTCTCAGTCCCAACTTTGATTTATCAACTCGAAATATGGAGGATTTATCCTCTAAATTGAGGTATAGCTGTTGCTTGTTGTTTTTCTTCTCTCTCTGCTGTAATTGCTCTATTAAAGGAGTAAAATGCCATGCATTTAAGTTATAGATGTGGTGTGATAAGTGGTGTAATTTATAAGGAGTTTATGTTGTTTTCATTCTTATGTAAAACACAAACGTTTTTGCTTCAATAAAAAAAAAACTCTGGGCAAAGAAGCATTTTAGAAGTCCAATAACTAAAAGTCTTAAGACTCTGAAAACTGTATTGTATTGACCAGATATTTGACCCATCGAACAGTGAAAGATTTAAATTACCAGAATACCAAGAAACATAATTTTGCCTCTAATGCTTTCTAGACCATTATTGCGTCTTGGCTTGGCTGCCATATGTGAAAGGTCTCGAGGTTTTAGATGCTGAAGAGAAGATCAGTCCTCCTGTCAGTCGTGCCATATGAACCTCAGCGGTGCTCCAGTTGCTGCTGTGTCTGGCCTGGCGAGGAGCCAACTGGTCCCCATTTGACTGTCTTGATCAGCTACTAATACAGAGAGGAGGAGGAGGAGGAGGTCAGGTGGTCAGGTGTGTGGTCGTTGAGAAGCCCCATACAATGTGTCAGAGGTCGCCCTCTAGTGGACATACTGTTCCCCCTTCACTACCACCCCTCAACCACACCTATCTGCGTGTTCACCATTTATTTTAGACTTTTATCAGCCTTGATTCCAAACAGTTGTTAGTATACAATAAATAAATGCATGTATTTTATCACACATTAGTAGCAGACCATTCTAAAATGTATGTAAAACATATTGGTGATTATGTACAACGATAATTTACAATTTGAA